CTCACATGGAGCAGAAGAGAAGCCAGGTGGAGTCTGTCCAGGTAGAGGTGGGTCAGAGGATCCCCAGGCTTCCTCAGGAGGGACAGGAGCAGCTGGAGGTGCCCCGGTTCCTGAGAGGGTGTTGGGGAGGGGTAGAGAGAGACAAGGATGCTGGAAGAGCTGGGGAGAAGGGGGCATGGCTGGAAGAGGCAGCAGAGGAGGGGGGACGAGGCGGGGAAACCTGCGTGCCTCAGTGTTGGACTCTGTGGCACCTTCTGGAGAGAAATGAGCAAGGTGTGACTCCCAGACACCCGCCCTTCTGAGCCACCTGCAGGGTGGGCTGTGGGTGCACTCAGGCCACGGTGCCTTTGCACAAGTGTCTGGCAGGGGAGGAGAGAGGAAGGGGGAGTGTGCGGACGGTAGCACTAGGTGGGCCGTACCTGGGGAAAGCAGTACACATCCCCTTTGCTCAGGACCCTCCGCAGGCCTCTGAGGTGCCCATTCACCTGCCGGGCTTAGCCCAGCCAGGGCGCGTTCAGATAGAGGGTGGCAGGTTGCGCAAATGCTCAAATGTATTTCTTGTATGATTGAGTGAATAAACGCCCGTAGCTGCTTCGGGATCAGCAGTTGGCCTCATGGCAATTGAGAGGACAAAAATAGACTTAGGAGCTATTGAGAGACCCAAGAAACCAAGAAACTTAAGAAACAATACTTGCTGTAAAAGTAGTGTTTAGTTCACTATATTTCATATATTCCTACCTCATGTTTACTATATATTTTGTGTATTCCTACCTCATGTATTTTATGAAATCTTAGTACTTTAAATTCTACCTCAAATGAAATCTTAGTACTTTAAATTCTACCTCAGACCCTGTAGAATTAGGCATATGTCGGGTGCCGGTCGTGACCAATTGTATAATGGCGTAAGTAGTGTTTATATTTAGAACTCTTGGGTTAAGCATTGTCAGCCCCAAATTAGTAGGCTAACTTCTGCTTTTACAACGGGATTTAAATGATAAAGCGATAAGCCCCTTTCAGACATTCCTACAAGGTGGCAGCAGACTCAGAGGCGCCAGCTGCTCTCTATCACCGGTTTTTATCCCAGTGATAATTTACATGCAGTGGCTATGTAAACCTGCAGGGAACAAAGACTTTTATAAAAGAAACCACCTTGCTATAATACGCTTGTGATATTTTATAAATTCCCAGAATTAGTATATGAATTTCGACCCCACATTCACTGTATGTGTTTGCAGCATTCGTATTTAAAACTTTGTTAAGTTTGCTTTTGTTGTCCCATAATGACCATGTTATGTTATGTAAATGTTAAGCAAACAAGCTTTCTTAAGCATACCTTGGGGTGGATCAGCAAACTTAAAGGGCTAACATAACACTTTACCTGCCTGCTCAGGTTACTTTATATGCAGACTGTATGGACTGTATGTATCTGACATTCCACTCTGCCCGTTAAGTGGGTTTCTGTCAATCACGGGCAGTCAGGTTACAGCCACGAAAGGCACCAACCAATACCAAGTGTTCCCATACCCATTAGGAGAAATTACCCAATCATGTAAAATCAAGTTTAAAGTTCTTTCCCCTCTCTCTGTAATTGTGCATAAAAACTGCTTGCCATTGTGAATCGGGGCTCTGGTCCATGAAGCCTCTACGGGCTTCATGCGTGAGCCCAGACTCGAGCCTGAATAAAGACCCTCGTGTGTTTGCATCGGAGCTGGCTCTTTGTGGTCTCTCTCTCTCTCTCTCTGATTAGAGTCTCGGGTTTAACAGTATACCCAGGGAAGATTCACCATCAGATAGTATCAGAGAACAACCACATGGGAAAGAAACTTGCACAACTCTTACCTGCAGTGGTCAAAAGGTAAACGACGAAAATTTGTCTGTGGGAGATCTGTTTGGGGAAAAAACAACTATTCTGTAAAATAGTTAATCTATGTGCTCCTTCTAAGAATTCAATTACATTTTTGAAAAAGTTCATGTGAATTACCAAGTACAGTAATTGCTGTGGATTTAAAATCTTTTATTTAACTTTTTTTTTAAAGAGACAAGATCTTGCTGTTGCCCAGGTTGGAGTGCAGTGGCATGCTCATGGTCACTGCTGCCTTGACCTACTGGACTCAGACGATCCTTCCACCTAAGCCTTCCAAGTAGCTGGAACTACAGGTGCATGCTACCACACCCAGCTTATTTTTTTATTTATTGTAGAGACTAGGTCTCACCAAGTTGCCCAGGCTGGTCTTAAACCCCTGAGTTCAGGCAATCCTCTCACCTCAGCCTCCCAA